GAAGCCAATTAAGATTATTTAGTATTTGTGTGGAACGAACATCGTACGTATTCTGAGGAGGTGGCTGTGTTGATAAAGTAGGCGGCTGTGGGAAGCAGTCTAGGGAGTCTTAAAGTCATCCAAATTAACTAGACATAAGTGTATATTGATTAGAAATAATTTTCCGAAAATGACCAGGCCATAAAGTAGACCAGTTTGAGGAAAAACAACTGTGTTGTTTGAAAGCTTAGAGTAGAGGGAGGAGAGAAGAATTGAAATTTCAAGCACTAAACAAAGTAACAAGACTATGCATATATAAATAGAAAATAAAAATGCGAGGACTTGAAATCTAGTCCAGTCCGAATTGGAGGATTTGAAATGACATCTCATACGAATATAGCTCTACTTAAAGTAAGGTGAATTAATTTTGATTCAGTCCAAGGACTGAATTTATTTTGATCCAGTTATTATCATGTGAGCAAAATGAAACAATATGATTGGCTAATTTACTCATGAATTATAAATGAGTTTGAGATGCCCTGTTTGTATACATGTATTTATACAATTTGTATGTGGTGTTATTGGTAGTATACTGTACATAATGTTTGTTTTTATTTCTTACGAAGTTGTTGGATCACTTGCTTGGCGGCGTTCAGGATGTCATCCAGCACAGAGGGCGATATTATTGGAAGGTAAGACAGTCATTTAAACTGGGATGGATCCAGCCAGATCTGCAGGGGATGAAATTTTAAATCGCCAAATTTAGTACAAGGTCGCCCTAAATCAATGTGTTATGAAGTATTCTCTTTGTATATAGATACTGTAACATAAAAAAAACAGTTGTTTAATATGTTGGCAAATGATATGCAAAAGTAGAATGAAATGCATGATCATTGAATGGCTTTAGAATTACTTTATTATTCATGTTTTCAAAATTGTTCATATTTGTACTTACAGAATCTACACCAGTATGTTGATATGAAATATCTGCGACCCTGGTTTATGCGTGAAATGTCTGACCAACAGGCGATAGATGAAACCGTTTTAATGGTCTACAGAAAAATATCTTCACGGTATGAAAATATTTCTACATATTGAAATTGTATCCATTTGTGTAACTTTTTATTCTCCAGCTGGCGCTTTGCACGACTTTTACAAGTATGTCAGATTAACTGACTGGATAGTATGGAGAACAGTGAGATTTTCAAAACAATGAAAAGACAATGGAACATTCTGATCACTGGATCCTGACTGGATAGTATGGAGAACAGTGAGATTTTCAAAACAATGAAAAGACAATGGAACATTCTGATCACTGGATCATGACTGGATGGCATGGAGAACAGTGAGATTTTCAGAACAATGAAAAGACAATGGAACATTCTGATCACTGGGTCATGACTGGATAGCATGGAGAACAGTGGGATTTTTAAAACAATGAAAAGACAATGGAACATTCCGATCACTGGATCGTGACTGAATGGCATGAAGAACAGTGAGATTTTTAAAACAATGAAAAGACAATAGAACATTCTGATCACTGGATCGTGTCTGGATGGCATGGAGAACAGTGAGATTTTCAAAACAATGAAAAGACAATGGGACATTCCGATCACTGGATCGTGACTGGATGGCATGAAGAACAGTGAGATTTTTAAAACAATGAAAAGACAATGGAACATTCCAATCACTAGATCGTGACTGGATGGCATGGAGAACAGTGAGATTTTCAAAACAATGAAAAGACAATGGGACATTCCGATCACTGGATCATGACTGGATGGCATGGAGAATAGTGGGATTTTCAAAACAATGCAAAGACAATAGAACATTCTGATCACTGGATCATGACTGGATGGCATGGAGAACAGTTATGATAAATGTCATGCAATAGGTTGGTTATACAGTGTTTATAAATGAAGAAATGTTTTGTGTTTTGGTTTAGGGAGGCAGTGCCGCCTGGTTGTTCTCGTGACGTACCTGAATCTATTGAGGAGCCTGAGTAAGATATCTTATTATTTTATTTCTCATTTAATGATTCAAAAAATCTTTCCCCATTAACAATACAGATAAGTATAGTATAGCATACATAGGGCGATAGCAGCAGCCGAAATACAACATTTTAGAACTGAGTTATTATAACTAGTGAATACTTATGATTTATATGTGATATGAAACTGTTCTAAATTGGTCGTTGAGAAAGATCGTGACTCTATTTTTACCACCATTTCGACCATATGGAAACCAGGCTTCATGAGTTATAATGTATGTCATTGAAATCTTTTAGTGAATTCGAACATGTTGTGAAAGATCGTCGTCGTTCTTCAGGTAGAGAGATTTTAAACTAAAATTATAAAATCCAGAGATGTTGTACAGTAATTTCAACTTCATTTGGACACGGCAATTTACTTTAAAGTCCCATTCACACTTGCAATTCTTTCTGCGATTTCTATTGTGATTCTCGTCTTCTGATGCATGTGAACGAGTAGATAAGTTATGTGTTATATCTATGGTTATACAGCTAGTTCAATTAAGGTTGTCCCCGAGCAAAGCGGAAAAGTCGAATACGCGAAAGACTTGCTGGGAATCGCTAAAAACTAATGATTTTTTTAGCGATTCCAAGCAAGCCTTTCGCGCTTGTATTCGACTTTTTCGCTTTGCTTGGGGAAGACCTTAATTGAAATAGCTGTATGTTGTATGTTAAGATTATGTTCCCCCATTTGAACATCCATAACTCGTCCACTCGTTCACACAATCAGAAGAAGGAAATCGCAGTAAAAACTAAAAGGCAAATGCAAACGTGCTTTATATTTCTTTAGGGCTTGCTCCACCTCAAGAAGAAAATCAAAAGTTTAAAAACGTGGTCCAGCATGTACAGCTAGCTATGCTACTGTCAAAACAGTGCAGGGTAATTTGTTGGCTTTTTTTACCGACTTACTGGGATTGTCACGGATTGTAGTTTATGTTAATATTGTTTCTCACACACAGCTGGGAGCTGCTGCAGCCAACCGCCGCACTTACTGGGATTGTCACGGATTGTAGTTTATGTTAATATTGTTCATTTTTGTTCAGGGAACTAGTCGCAGATTTTCAAGAAACAATATTTTGGATGAAACTGACACTTGTGATGAAGCATTAAGGATGAGAAGGTACAGTACCATAAAAATCACCATAATCACTATCCATTGTGTACAATACCACAACCATTAGTATCATATTCATCATCACCACCATAACCACTACCAACCATTACCATTGCCCCCAACATCACCACCTGACCACCATCATCACCACTTAACCATCATCATCACCACCTAACCACCATCATCACCACCTAACTACCATCATCACCACTACCACCATCATCATCACTACCTAACCATCATCATCACCACCTACAGTAACCATCTTCACCACCTACAGTAACCATCTTCACCACCTAACCATCATCATCACCACCTAACCATCATGATCACCACCTAACCATCATCATCTCCACCATATTCACCACTAACTCTTCCATAATAAACAAAAACATTTCAAAATTTTCAGGTGTGCTCAAACTGCGCAAGTTCCCCGCAACGTCATTTCGAGAAAAGTCTCCCGCGAACAGCAGATCAGTGGTGATGAAAGAGATAACAATGCATGTTCTTCAACACAATTTAAAGTCCCCCACAAACCTCACCACAAACGACACAAAAAACATGGCCACAAACATGGTCATCATCACGGCAAACATCAAAAACTTGGGAAAAAGCTCAGCGATATACCCGAGAGTCCTCCCTCCAGTAGCCCACCGGGTATAGACTCCCCATCGGGGAGATATTCTCCACCCGGACCTGATACCTCGGCAGCTCAGACAAATGGAACAGACGGAGGGGATACGACTTCAGGCTCCGATAATGAAACCCAAGACATGTTACCCAAGTTGGCAGATCTAGAGCCCAGTTCTCCGCAACTTGCTAAGGATTTCAGTGCCTTACATGAGCCTACAGTGTCAATGCAAAGCGGTTCAGCTGCTGCTGATGAGGGCATTGATGAAACTGTAATGTAAAAGAGGTTCTTATAAATGAGGGTCAGCTGGGGGTAATGTCTAAAAGGGATGGACGAGAAGTACTACGAGATGGTTCCAAAATTGAAATAAGAGCTTGTGTTAATGTTGAGATTAGGGTTAGGTATGCGGTAAGGGTACTGGGTAAGGGTGAGTTTTAGTATTGTTGCAAGTAACTGGTTGTTGATTCTTTTACGTTTTAATGATCTTAAATGGCGGCCATCTTGAAAACCTGTCTCTAGTCCATTCTATTTTATAGCCACGACCGTCAGTTCCCCGAAATGATTCAAGTCAATTTTCAACTAATATACTGTTTAAACGCGAAGCTTTCTATCATAAACCAGAGACAACGTCAAACTTAAACGTTATGCCAACTTTTTCCTCCTAGGATCAAACCACAGAATTTCGTGCTTTGATAGCTTCAGTAAATTTAGTCAATGATTATAAATCAATGTATTTTAGTTTTAGTCAAGTGTAGATATTTTTGTAAGATGTAAATTAATTTGTTTGTAGAAAAGATGTAAATTAATTTGTTTGTAGAAAAACTAGAAATATTAATTTAATTAAATAAAGGTTTAATTAAATGCGACAGACTTCAAAATATTTTATACGTTAATATAGGCTACTGAAAAACGCCATTATTTAGGGGTTGGAACTTGGAATTACTTAATTAAATTAAAGGAAATCTTAGATCCGACTGTCAGGTAACTCGAAACAAGACTTTATTCAATTTTCTTTAATCTTTTCAGATAGTTCCAACACAGAATCCACCTTCAAAAATATCTTTATAAGTAATATGCTTATCAAATCTAGCTTTTTGAGCAAATATTTTAGCGCAAACAATAATTTTACACGCGAAAAACGGCACAGAATAAAGACTACGGCTTCGTACAATTCGAGTTTCAATCAAAGTTTGCGCGTGGAAACCCGCGTGTAAACCGGGGGGGGGGGAGGAATCCTTCTAGAATCAGGAGGCGTGGTTACATAATTTTAAAGTGGACAAGAAAGTAAACTTTCAAAATAGATAAAATGTGAAAATAATCTTTACATTTTTGGCAAATTCTCTAACTTAACGACATTATAACACAGCCAAGATGTCTTTAAAGGAAGCAGTCGGAAAGCGTGAGTATTCTATACGTATTTAGAGTGATTTTTCCACGTAGAAACCTCATTTTGCTCACATTTTTATGCAGCTATTTAATATTCTGTACAAAAAAGGTTTTGTTTATATTGTGTTAGGTATTATGGAGGAGGTTATTAAACCTTTACATGCACCCAAGAAATGGAAGGTGTGTTGTTTTTATTGATTTGTGTTAAAGAAATAATGTTTATTATTTATGAAATTAATGGATATAAGAATCCATATTTTGACGTATTTGATAATATCTGTGATAATATGTTTTACATTGAATTTGCATGTAATTGAGTGCCCAATGACTTTCAGTGTTAAAGATGTTAAATGTTTTTAAATGTCAGCATACTGTGCTATGTAGTTGCACAATTTTATTAGGTGTATTTAGAAAATATCCGCCTAAACGTATAAGTTTAATATTAAACAGATAAATACAGTATGCTATCTCATATATATCAATATCAGATATTTGTGCTGGTCAATATCAAATGATAAACTTGACCCCTCCTTGTCAGAGGTTTCTGATGATCTTGGTTAATGCCAAATATTAGTATGTACATACTTATAAAACATTAGAAGCCATCACATATAACATGATTTGTATTATTTACTAGTTGAGTCGGGTTATTTTAATGCACCGCAGGATTTATACAGGTTACTGTATAACCTGTGAATAAATAATTAGATCAAACTTGCTGACAGGACACAAAAAATCCTGATTGATAGTCTTCGAAAATTGTTGAAAACTTGTTCGAAAACCTCCTCAACTAGTAAATTATAAACCTCGAACTTGGGATATGAATCAATACAGTATATGACTTAAATATATCCCACATTCTCAATGAATCCCATATATCAGGGTTCATACTAAACTTGAAAGTCCTTGAATGTCCTTGAATTTGTAAAGAAATACTCAAAAGTCCTTAAATTTTCTTGCTTTAGTTTTTGGATATTTTCTGATTATTTGTTGAATTGATTTTGCACGTTCATATCTGACAAAGCTGTTTTAAAGTTTAAACTCATTAAAGTAGCGTTTTGAACAATTCAAAGTCAGGTTTTACTGATTTCCAAACCCTTTTCAGTATTTAGTCCCTGAATTAATTTGCCGGTACATGGCCTTGAAAAGTGCTTGAGTTTGAATCTTCCTCGCATATACGAACCCTGTTATAAACTAACAGAATAAATAACTCAAACTAAAATAACTCAAACCTTAACATTTGGAATTATCTCTAGGTTTTAATCCTGGATCATTTGAGTCTGAGGATTGTTTCATCCTGTTGTAAAATGAATGCAATTATGAGTGAAGGAATCACCAGTAAGATCCTACTGTACTTCTTACTAAGGCTTAAAGAAAAATACCTGTGGTTCCGGTTCCCAACCGACCCTATTTTTTTCTGCCGACCCTATTATTTTTTGACCGTGTGACCCTATTTTCTCCTTGTAGTTGCGGGCTGCTGCCAAAATGGCGTCTGTTGTCACACTAATTATCAAAAAAACCATGAAAAAAATATTCAAAAAAAAATTATTTCCGACCTACCGACCCTAATTTTTTTGCGACATGAAACCAGAACCGCAGGTTGTTTTTTTATTACAATGCATGTGAGTTTCACCTTTGCAATCAGAGTTCAATTCCTGCAGTATGTGTAGGGAAGTAGCAACGGTCTACTTTGTTGTTGAAGGGGTGAAGGGTCAAATTACCTGATTTTTTGAATGGGTGATTCCAGCTACAGAATAAATTTTGATCTAGGCAAGAAGAATGAAATCCAACACCACAGCTAGAACACGCGTATTAGAATGAGTAAAACTGCAAAGATTGGTTGCTAAATGTTGTAAAATGAAGAAAATATAGCCCTGTAAAAAAAAGAGGTCGCCAAAATAATTTTTCTTGAAAAAATTTTTTGGTACTAGTCGGGCAGAATCCCGAAAAGTCGGGCAATTTTCTTTCCGCCCCCCTAATTTTTTCCTTCCGGTACGCCCATGTATACAAAATTTGTGAACTTCACAGGGCAGCACTATTTTCCTCATTTTACAACAATTTGCAACCATACTTTGCAATTGTCTAGATCAAAATTTCGTCTATACCTAGCCGGAGTCATCCATTACTGAACAGTATGTACTATGTTACGGTTGTTATCTAAATTAGCAGTGTTTGAAATTTAGTGTGATTTTTTCATGAGTACACACATTCAAGTAGCATGTGTTTTTTTTATTAAAGAATATATTAGACTAAGCATAATAGATATGGGGCTAGATCCACAAAGGAAGGTTAGGGGAATATGCTCCCTTGAGCAAATTTAGAATATTTAGACCCTCAGAAAGACTAGCAATGCACAGGGTTCGTACACCCCCTTGAAATCCTGGAAAACCCTGGATTTTTATTTTAGTCCTGAAAAACCCTTGAAAACCCTGGAATTTCAAATTTATCCCTGGAAAACTGAGCTGGGTATAGGATTATACCTATACTATTTTTAAAACACTTTTTAAAAAGAAAGATTGAACAAAAGTTTCTTCCATTATATATAGTCGCAGCATTTCTTGGGCATATGGCGCGACCTTTCGTTCAAACTGGCACAAACCCAAAAAGTATCTCTGCAAGATGAAGTACTAGCCGTCGCAAACGTTTCTTATCCGTTAAACACTTATAGATATAGATCCGTTAAACACTTATAGACTGGAAAAAGGATGAAAAAAGTTTTGGAAAACCCTGGATGTTTTAAATTCTGAAGGTGTACGAACCCTGAATGCAACTAAAATTTTGCATTATCAGCTTGACATTCACTTTTAACTTCTATGTTTACCTGTCAATGCTCTTGCAATTTACCTAAAAATCAGCCATGTAACCTCTAAATTGAAATTACTCATGAACAAATATTTGGGGGGGGGGGGTACGCCCAATACACACACCCAGTTGCTTTGACTCCACCAAACACCACAGGTTTTATATAAATGTATTACAATTAAAACTATGTATTTATCTAGTTGTTGAAGGTCTTGAGAAACGCAGAGAACCTCTGCCTACGCTTGAAGCTATTTATATTATGACACCAACGGCAGAGGTATTTCCATAAATTGCTTGGGTGAATTTAGGAGTGTGATACACGTGGGAATTGGCTTAAATGTTTGCATCAGCCTTCTTGTGTGCAGTCGGTACTTAGCTCATTGTAGGAAGGTAATAATCTTAACCACGCTTCAAACGTTTTTTTTCCTAGTCCATTGAATTCCTTCTGAATGACTTCAGGGAAGATGAACCAATAAAATACCCTGCGGCACATGTGTTCTTTACCGAAGGTGGGTGGAAATACTATATTCAGCTCTTGCAAGTGACATATATCATTTGACATAATTATTTGATGTCTGCCATTTTGGGTGGCAAATGTTTAGAGCTAAATAAAAACATACACAATGCTCATCCAGTAGACTTGCCACAAGCCGATTTCTTTTGTAATTCACAGTAAAAATGGGAGAAACAAAGGGGGAGGGGAACACACATTGAAAAGCAGGCGTTTTCTCCTCCCCTAACCCCCCTTTTTTCTGCCTCGCAAACACTCCCTGGCCAAAACTACACTCCCAAGAAAAACGGACTTTGACACAATTTCACAAGTGTACTTTGGTAGAGATCCAGTTTATCGCTTTTATTGACCTTTTCACAAATTCAGAAAGGATATGCCCCCTTTGTTGTCCATTATTTTGATTACTTTTTATAAAATAATATACATGTTGCCAATTTTAGTACAATGTTTCCTGTCAGAATTTCCCCCCTAACTGGGCCTCAACTAAATTAGTATAAGTGAAAGCTGCCTATTATGAAGATGATTCATTTCTAATGATTTGTATTTTATTTTTTAGTTTGCAGTGAAGAGCTCTTTAGCAAGCTAGCAAATACTTTTGCCTCAAAATGTAAGTCAGAGGAGTACAGTATTGGCATGTAATGTAAATTTTATAAAGTTTCGTTGTTAAATATATTGGTTTGTAAATTATTTTTACTTTTTTCTATCCTCTAGTTATAAAAACCTTGAAAGAAATCAATATAGCTTTTATCCCATACGAGTCTCAGGTAAATTAATAAATTAGGGCATGCCGCATGGCCGAATTTTGAGGAGAGGTGCGCATCTCCCCTGAGATCATATTGCACCTCCCCTGAGAATTTTTGCACCTCCCTTGAAAAGTCATGCACCTCCCGTTGGGAAAGTTTCAATGATAGATCAAAGTGAAAATTTGACATTTTTTGGTTGCTTACGTACGGTCTACACTTTGTAAGAAACTTTTTCTGTAAAATTGAAACAGTGGTAGTTTTAAATCATCTCTGTGTCAAGTACCCTTTAATGCAATGTTTTGAAAGAAACTTTGCAGTAATTGTAATGAAGGGCAAAATTGAATGAGTAACATGAGTTGTACAGTCACAATTCATTAATACACTGATATACAGGGTGCGATAATTCAATATTTTTAGCCGTACCTGACTGGTACTCCGACAAGTTTTGCCGCGTACCTGATCTGGTACAAACTTAAGAGTCAAGACGTACCTAAAGCCCCGTTTACACTACGCTCAATTTTTGGTACGGCACGGATAAAATTGGTACCCGTACCACTTTTTTGGTTCTTGGACTACCTATTTAGCGGTACAAACTTAAGAGTCAAGACGTACCTAAAGCCCCGTTTACACTACGCTCAATTTTTGGTACCGTACCACTTTTTTGGTTCTTGGACTACCTATTTAGCTAAGCCCCGTTTACACTACGCTCAATTTCGTTTAGTCCAAGAACCAAAAAAGTGATACGGGTACCAATTTTATCCGTGCCGTACCAAACATTGAGCGTAGTGTAAACGGGGCATGCGTTTTCATACCTACGTATAGTTTACTGGTCCAAAAGCAAAAAATGTAATGGTATTTTATTACAACAGTACATAATATAACAGTTTTCAAAGTGTCGACGTTGTGACTCGAATGCCATCGCTCATTTACAGCGGATTTACCAAGGGTGCTAACAGTCTAACCTCAGCTACATACAGTGTAGTTTTCCTCATTGGGCCTAAAAAAAGCCTGTGGTTCCGGTTTCATATCGCGAAAAAATTAGGTTAGGTATAGGTAGATATTTTTTTCATGGTTTTGGCAGTTTTTTGCTGGGCGATTTTCAGTAGAGTCCCAACATCAATATTAACTAGAAATGCGTAGTTCCTACAGACGAATTTAGGCAATTTGGTTCAATAATTACGACAACAGACGATGTTTTGGCACGCTGTACGAGCAGCCCGCAACCACCCGGAGAAATTAGGGTCCTAATGGGGTCCACGGGCAGAAAAAAATATGGTCGGTCGGGAAACCGGAACCACAGGTATTTTTTTTATTGGCCTTGGTATAGCATTGGCAATTAAGCCCAGGTCACCCCACACAACGGTAACGATAACTTTTAAAAAAATTATGTTGGTGTCCACACTACAACGAAAATGATAAAATTGTCGGCGTTTCACGATAACGATTTTAAAATCGCTCACACGAGAGATTTTTTTTTTCAGTCGGGCGATGACGATAAATTTTCTTTTGGCTTCTTTCATACCAAAGTATGTCGGATGCGTGGAATTTAAATGTACAGCTAAAGTTACTGACGGTTTTGAATACTTATGTTTGCTAGTTATTGCTAGAAGGAAAATGTAAGTACGCGAATGGCAAATTTCCGCGTACCTACGTGGTACTTGCCTAAAAACAAAGAAGTACCAGCCCATAAATTTGGCGTACCTCCGGTACGTTGGTACGCGAATTATCGCACCCTGTGATATACATGTACACTACATGCATACGTCACATCATTGACTTTGGCCCGTTCTAAGCCCTAACTTTCCATGGGGGTCGTGAGGTGAACCACTGCACCTCCCCTAAATTATTTTCCACCTCCCCCACTATTTCCACCAAAATCCAGCCTTGAATTAGGGCATGTCAGGGCACAATGCAGCTTAATGAGTTAAGCGACCTGCTGCCAAAATGCAACCAAGCTCTAAAATATTGATGGCAATTTTTTGCCAGCAAGAATTTATCAAAATTTCCTGACTGACTGCCACATCTATGGCCCAGACTTATATATGTTTTGGGTTTACCATAGGTTTTCTCTCTCGATACTCCCCAAGTTGTCAACACGTTTTACTTGGAGTCTGAGCAACATGTCGTTGATATTGAGGTAGGGAAATTATTCCATATAAATGAAGTTTGCTTTGGTGGAGTCGAATTGTATTAATGTAGGTTTTATGGCCATCTGATGGTAAATTAAATCTATTTCTTTATATTCTCAACAGAAAGTTGCAGAACAGTTGGCTACACTATGTTCGACACTGGGAGAATATCCTTCAATCCGTTTCAGAGCGTGAGTATTCTGAGCATTTCAGATCAAGAAATCACTTGTCAGTATTTGATACTCCACTGTATATGTTTACTTTTGGATGACCAGGTTTCCAGTTTGCTCAAGATCTCAAAGTGTTTTTAATCATTTTCCGATAGTTCACAAACAGACAAGCTTATTTTAGAATACCATATATAGTATGTACAATAGTAGCCACATGTTTGCAAGTTTCATTACATTAGGATTACTGTAATCTGCATATATTTCTCTTTCTAGTACGTGTCCTGGTTTAGGAGAGTTGGCACATGCTTTGCAGAACAAGTTGACAGCATACAAAGCGGATGATCCTTCAATGGGAGAGGTACAGTAATTCACTTTGTACAGTTATTGTTAAACAAATTAATTTGCATTATGTGTAAATATCCACAAAACTGCTTTGGATGCTCTACAGTACTTACTCATAGACTTATTGCTTCTGTTCTAGGGCTCTCAGAAACATCGTTCACAATTTCTGCTTCTTGATAGGTAATGCATACATACTCTACAATCCATTTTACCATATGTGGGAATGCATCTTAAGTAATGTACTTTTTCTGTTATTCTATCTAATTGCCAGACTATGATATTTTTCAGAGGATTTGATCCAATCGCACCATTGCTTCATGAGCTAACATTTCAGGTATAGCTTTAACACTTATTGCTCAAGGAATACTTTTGTACCATTTATGCCCATACAGCACATTATCATAACAGTGGTACCATGATAATGGTACCACTACCATACTAGGCATATTACCATGCCTGCAAGTATATCTGGAAGTGCCAATTAGGTCACAACAGCCATATAAACATGGGATTACAGTAAGTCAGGTATGTTACTTGACTGTTTTCATTTTAAAATTTCAGGCAATGGCTTATGATCTTCTGGACATAAAAAATGATGTTTACACGTACGTTTTTGTCTGCTAAAAACTAATACAGTTTTTAGTGACAGTTTTTAGTGACTTTTCATTCTGATGTATTAAATCAATTGCTTCATATTTCACTTTCTTAGTTTCATGTCTGGTGATGATGAAAAGTCTGTTGTTCTTGATGGTAAGGCATTTCAGGAGAAACTAATAAAAGTAAACTTAACAAACTTTATAAGGGCGTCAGGGCTGTCCCTAATCTATAATAAGAAAAAAATTGAGGGTGTTTTGATTTATGAAATTCTGGAGAGTGCTTGACTGCTTGAGATATATAGAGCAATTATATGATTGACATCCAATATGATTCCTGATGATTCCTTTAATGGAAGAAACAGGCTGTAGTGACAAAACCTTGAGATAGACAAAACGATAATAGAAATAATATATATTTTAATTTTTTGAATATCCTTTTCAGAATCGGATCACCTCTGGTTAGAATTGCGACACAAACACATTGCGGATGTTTCCAAGTAAGTTTCACTCAACAGACAGTGCCTTAACCAATAATGATGTATTAACCCTCAACAAATAAAATTGTATGCCACATTGCCACTTAAAGGATTAATATATTCTCTTGTTCTCACTTTTTCAGAATAGTTCCAGAAAACATAAAGTCATTTGCAAATTCTAACAAGCTCAGCAAAGGGGGAGACAAGGTGCGTTTTGGTTATCTCATCCGATTGTGTGCTTTAGAAGAAATTCATTGTTTTTGTGTTAGCCTTAATTTATGAATCGAAAATTTCAACTGTGTATTTCTCCTTTAGACTGACATGAGAGATTTGAAACAATTGCTGAAAAGGTTACCACAATATCAGAAGGAATTGAGCGGAGTAAGGAAACTATGATGATGATTATAATTTCAGGATGCCTTCACTCAGGTTACAGTAATTCATATGTACTGTACATACACACTAAGAGATTGTTTGTTGTTTTTGTCAGCTCAACGTGCATTTCATGTTGACAGAGGAATGTATGAAGAAATACAGTCAGACTGCTGAAAAAATATGTCCTGTTGAACAGGTATTACAAAATCACTTTGCTAATACTATGCTCTCTCTATCTACATAATCACAACAATCCGACATTCACATTCAATTAGAATTCTAAAGATTCGCTCTGCTTTATCATAAAAATTTATATAAAAAACCTTTCGTATTACAGTTGGATCTTTTGGACATTGAAGCTACATAGCATAGTGTCAGCATTAGGGCTCTTTTCCACTGATCTCAACAGTCAACTCGGAATTACACTGCTGGTACTTCACAGCATCTAATCAAAACAAACTGTTGAACATTGTGATTGAATGAAAGCACTCGCAGCGTGCTTTGGCAGTTGACTCTTGTGATGAATGGAACAGAAGCTTGAGAAATGTGTCCATTTTATACAAGTTATCACAATGACGTCACTTTGAAAACTCCACAGTCCATTCAAGCCTGTTTTCTTCTTTAGGATATGGCAACTGGCCTTGATAATCTTGGTGAAAAAATCAAAGATCCTTTGAAGAATATTAATCCTTTGTTGTTGGACAGCAGTGTGAGGTTGGTGTGCTGTTATTAAGGACAGTTCATTATGATTAAGGAGTGATACATATTGTAGTGTATATTTTTCACCCTGTGATGAAATTTTGTCTTTATACTTACATTTTCAGTGTTCAAGATAAAATCCGAATAATTCTTTTATATATCATTGCAAAAGATGGTATGTACCTGTATTTGGTTACTATTGCAATCAAGTTACTGTATATTGTAATATACTGCGGATTCAGGTAGACCGTTTAATGCGAATAGTTGTCGCGTTATATATCGATCAATTCGAAACTTCACCATCACCCCCCCGGGCATACCCCGGGAATTTGACTTCAAGTCTTCTCCAGGGAGTAGGGAATTTGACGTTCTAGGTCTTCCATGTGGTGGGGCATTTGATAACGGGGTGGGGAATTTGAACCGGAAGTCTTAAAATTTTGCCCGTTTTCGCGTGCTTCCTGCATGCACAGAAAATACTTCGCATTGGCGGCAAATACAGTTTTCTCAGATTTCGAGGGAAACGGCGTCAATTTTAGGAAAAACTGGCTCAAAGAAACGGGCATGGAAAATCTATGTGCTTCATTTGAAGATATGTACTACATAATTGTGTAAAACTGTTAAATTTCCACAAAGTATCCAAACTTTTTATGTGAATTTCGCTATCTTGTCGAAAAACATTTCCGTATATTTTGTACTTTTCGTGTTTACTGTTTCATAATTTTCATATGAAGGTGGGGCATTTGAACGCTTAATTTCTTGTTACAGTGGGGCATTTGAAGACATTTTTTGCACAGGGGGTGGAGAATTTGATTAGTCAAATTTCAAAAAGTTCAAATTCCCGGGGTCGGCCCGGGGGGGTGATGGTGAAGTTTCGAATTGATCGATACATTAGTTTTAACAGTTGTAGATGACCTTTCTAGGCAGATTTTCGACGTTTCTAAGGCGTGGCTTCAACGTTTATTTTTAAAATTTGAACGTTGTAATTACAAGGTAATTGCTAAATAGTATACTTCAAAATAAGGTTTCCGTTTTTATAACGTAGAAAAAATATCCTAACGCAAAACTAAACCCTAACCTAACCCTAACTTATTTAAAAAATTGATATAAAAACGGAAACCTTATTTTGAAGTATACTATCTGGCAATTACCTTGTAATTACGTTCAAATTTTAAAAATAAACGTTGAAGCCACGCCTTAGGAACGTCGAAAATCTGCCTAGAAACGTCATCGTACAACTGTTAAAACTAACGCGACAACTATTCGGCATTAAACGGTCTACCTGAATCCGCAGTAGTATCTATTTGTACAACAGTTCTTGTTTTTTTTTGTGTTGGTGTAGTGTACTCAGGTGAATAAGATGCTTGTGATGTTACTTTGCATGTAGTTTGCCCAGTGTGGATATACACTCAGAGTGACATCACAAGTTCTTGTTATGCTCATTAGCTACAAATATAATAACAAAACATAGAGGTATGACTATTTCTACCCATATTTATGTGATCACATATGCCAGGATAAAAATTGTATTAACATATATTCTTTCAGGTATCAGTGAAGAAAATTTACTCAAACTTTGTCAACATGCTCAGATACCAAATCGAGAACAGTATGTACAACATTATATCAGATTTACAGTAAGACCATGGACCATGGTTGCATAAAGCAATATTTAATGCAAGAGTTTGTATATCATTTTACTGTAGTTATTTTAAATTAATTGTTTTTATTAGGCAAATCATTACAAACATGGCCAATATTGGAGTGCCAATCAAGGAAGGGGTAAGTCTGAATCAAGTTCTTGAAATCGTCTCAATTATCCATTCCAAAGTTGATGAGAGGACTGGGGACGAGTATTAAAAAGTGTCCAAATTAAGAAATGAACCAAATCACTAAAAAGACCACCTCAAAATTAGTAAGTATACAAAGTTTGGAGACGTTTACATGAATACCCTTCGAATAATAAGCTTTTGAAAATTGTGAAATTACTGGTTAAAAGATTGTTTTTGGGACGCGCGTCCCAAAAACAAAAATTACAATACATTTCATAGTAAATATCACGATTTTTGAAAGCTTATTATTCGAAGGGTGTTCATGTAAACGTCTTCAAACTTTGCATACTTCCTAATTTTGAGGTGGTCTTTTTAGTGATTTGGTTTATTTCTTAATTTGGGCACTTTTTAACACTCGTCCCCAGTCCACTCATCAACTTCGGAATGGCTAATTATAAACAGTTGAGAAGAGTACTTCACATTTCTTTCACCAAACGCTGTAATGTTTTCTCAGGATATTTTGTTTCCTTCTTGAGTAGTACTTGATAATAAGAGATTGCACTTACAGTACCATATTCTCGGGTTTCATATGACGTCACAGAAGTGACGGGTGGTCAACAAAACACACTGTAAGCCTTAATTATACAATAATCCTTTATATCAACAGAATATGAAAAAGAAATCAAAACCAGACAGGAGAGAAAGAGATCCTGCAAAGTACCAACTTTCAAGATATGTCCCATTTGTTCAAGATTTAATGGAGGTAACTACTGCACATAGGGCGAAAATATTTTCATCTATCTGGGAACCAACTAAAAATACCTAAAATTAACCTATTGAGTGGCAGCACTCTCCACTTGACAAGTAAAATCGTCTAGCGTTAGACGGAGTAAACTACTAAATTAGGGCGCATCAGGGTGCATTGCCACTTAAAGGGTTAAGAGGATGCCCATTGAGTGGCAGCACTCTCCACTTGATAAGTAAAATCGTCTGGCATTAGACAGAGTAAACTACTAAAGTAGGATGCATTATTTTGCTCTCTGCTACTGCGTATCTTACTGGACCCGTTCAGAGCATTCCAACGTTCTTGCCCAACAATATTGGATGAAAATTGTGAATAAAGTGAAACCAGCTCCAATACCTTCCTACTACACATCGTATGTCCATGTTCATCACTTTAAGTAAATATAAGTATATTAGAAATTACTTCAATATATACTGTAATTTGATGGTTTGTCTTTGCATTTCTTTTGTCAGGACTCTTTGCAAGAGAAACTGAATGAGAAGATGTTTAATTATATCCCAGTGTCGAGAGGGAGTGTTTCATCTGGTTACAGTAAGTATCCTTTGATTAATGGCTGCGGATGTTGGTAAGCCTTTAGCCTGCAAGTGGCTCACTTGACAGGAAAGTGAGCTTGGAGAGACGCTACCTGCACAGTTGAAGGGGCTGACTCCAAATTAAAATCTCAAATGTTGAAACAATGTAAAAATCCATGAATTAAAACTCCAAAACCATGTGGAGGGAATGACAGGGGGCAAATTGCCCCGGGCTTAATAGGCTTGAGAGCGAGAGCCTAAAATTGAGTAGGTTCTTCAAATTGGTCACAGAATTTTTGACAGTGAGGGCCATATGCAGTCTAGCTAAGGTCTAGTTAGGTCTAGCTTAAAAATAATGATGTCATGGGTCCCCAGGAAAGATTTTCCCCGGGCCCCGCGAATTCTTCCGGCAACCCTGATGAATGAAGATGGCTATCAAGTCCAATGTACAGTTTATGGTGGTTGGATCTGTTTTTATAATCACACCATTTGGAGTTTCAGGTGAAACCAGAGTGTGAGTTGGAACTCTCATCAACTCTCAATTGACTGTGGCTTTAGGCTTGGAAATTGGGTCCAAAAAACTTTGTAAAAAACCATTGATTTGAATCAGGGATGGATCCAGCATGATCTGGTATGGGGGGGGGGGGTGTTCTCTACCAGCTCTGGTGCCGAGTTGTGTCGGTCATGTGTGCCGCCCGCCCATCAACTTGCTTCACTACTGCAAAGTCTTGCTTGACTACAGTATTTGAATTGTAATTGTTGTTCACAGTTCGCTTATCATCATGTTATTACTCAAATTACTGTATCTCATTTTGTTTCTAATAATTTTTTGATGCACCCCTCTGGCTAGGGGGGTGCATCCCCCCTGCACCCCCAAGTAAATCCATCCCTGATTTGAATATTGTCAATAATTTATTGTTTTCTCTATCTTTATTCAGGCAGTGGTGTCGGACAAAGGTAAAAACAAAAATTAAATTACTGTATAGGCCCATTTCCACCTTGGAAAATTTTCCGCAGAAAGAAAATTTTGTAAAATGTGATTGGCTGACACAAATTTTCCGTCGGAAAAAAAATTTTAAAGTTGAAAATATTTTCAATTTTTAACAATGATATTTTCGGAAAATTTTCTGTCCGTGGAAATTTTTCTTGAGTGGAAATGGGCCTTATGACATTGAAATTTTGTGAACTTATATTATTCCACATGTTTATGGTCCTACACTGTATACTGGTCCTACAAGTAATTAATTGTCTTTTATTTTGCTATTTTAGTGCACGTTATGGTCAATGGCATAAGGTTAGCAAAATATATTACACTCATAAATTATGTAATGGATTATTTTAATTATAGTGTAGATTACAGTGTTGGTCAAAATCTCCAACTTCTTCAAAACCTCTTTTCACAGACATCAACTAATGTTTCAAAAATTCAAGTTTTGCCTTAAACTATTCCAAATGTTTTCTGAATGCCCAGAAACCTTTTCTGTCATCAAAACAATGAAATTATTAACACGATACTTTCTGCAGGGTCATGCATCAAATACAAGAAGTTGTCCTCGTTTGATCGTCTTCATTATGGGCGGAGTGACTTATTCAGAAATGCGAACTGCTTATGAGGTTGGTTTCTACTGGGATTTATAAAAACGTATCACTTCAAAACTTAGTGTAATGTAGATGATTGTTTATGTGTTGGTGTAATGTACTCAGGTGAATATGATACTTGGGATGTTACTCTGAGTGTATATCCACACCGAGCAAGCTTGAAAAATATGCCTGACCACGGTGGGAATCGAACCTACGACCTTTGGAGTGCTAGCCTTAATACTCTGCCAACTGAGCTACGCGGTCTGGTCGGTTCGAGTATGTGATATTTCAGAACAGAATCTAGATCCTTCGATATCAATGTAGTCTAATAATCATGATTGTTTATGTGTTGGTGCAATGTACTCAGGTGAATATGATGCTTGGGATGTTACTCTGAGTGTATATTCACACCGGGCAAGCTTGAAAAATATGCCTGGTGGGAATCGAACCTACCACGGTGGGAATTCGTAGGTTCAAAGGTCGATTCAAAGGTCGTAGGTTCGATTCGATCCAAAGGTCGTAGGTTCGATCCAAAGGTCGTAGGTTCGATCCAAAGGTCGTAGGTTCGATCCAAATGTCGTAGGTTCGATTCCCACCGTGGTCAGGCATATTTTTCAAGCTTGCCCGGTGTGGATATACACTCAGAGTAACATCCCAAGCATAATGTAGATGATGTCATTATAATGTTCATTGACACAAGTTCTTGAGTTTCTTCCTATTATTCTAACATTCATTCCTGTTTAATAGTTAATTATTACGTTTTGCTTGCATATGAATTAGTGAAAACTTGACCACACTCTTTTCCCAGTGAAAGTTTCAAATGAGGAAGAAGCGTAGTAGACTTATGTGGATATTATGATAACGACAATTTCAGACCTTGATTACATTGCATGTATTGAATCCTGTCTTGTGTATTTTCAGGTCAAAGCTGCAAATAAAGACTGGGATATTATTATTGGTAAGTATTCATACTATACATATATAGGAGTAGGTTGATGCATTTTTGAATTTTTAAAAAAGTCACTGTGGTCCCCTGTTGTTTACTCTAGGGTTGCCTCTGTGGTTCCCTCTTTGCATTAGACCAAAATTTTTGAAAACATGTTTTTATTGGTCAAAAGTTATTATTTTGTTGAGAGAAACGGTTTTCGACAATTTTCAGAAATTTGGAGTTGGTTGTGGGGGCACTTTTTGAATTTTTAAAAAATTTGCTGTCGTCCCCCCTCTTTCCTTTTATGATTTTCAACCGAGAAAAACGTGTTATGAAAAGTTGTGAAAATTTGTAGTTCAGTTGTAAAATGTTTTTACTGTATACGTAATACCTGCCCGGAAAGGTAACTTTACTGTTGGATTGGACAGGATTTACTTGTGTTTTCTGTGGTTTTAAAAAAGTAATTTTCATTTTCATTTTAGGCTCCACTCATCTCATCCGACCAGTTGACTTTCTTTCTATGTTGCAAAAGCTCTCGGCATAAACCAGCAGAATGTTATTTACGTAATAATCTTGTACAATATATTGATCATTTAACATTTAAGTTCTTGAAGTACAACAAGGGGAACTGCATACCGTCCTGTTACAGGGGTATATGCGCTATGATTTAAAAGTCAATCGTAGAAAGAAAACAGTAAAAATTAAAGCATAATCCCTTAATATTTTTCGCTTTTCTGGCCACTTTCTATACGTTCGAGAGCTCTCACGGTGTCAAGTCATTTTGACCAATTTTTGTGCTTTTCAGAAAATGCCGGAAAAAATTTAGGGTTAATTTTTCATCCATTTTTGGCCTTTTTTAAAAAATCAAAAAAGGGGCAAAAAATGGACGAAAAGTTAAGGTGTTGGCCTTACTTTTTGTCATTATTTATCCCCTTTTTAAAATATAAAAATGTGGCAAAAAGTAAGGCTATTATAGCCTTACCTTTTCGTCCATTTTTAGTCACTTTTTCATTTTTGAAAGAGGCAAAAAATTACAAAAAAGCAAGGCTAGAGCCTTAACGTTTTGTCCATTTTTAGCCACTTTCTTCAGTTTTGGAAAAGGGGAAAAATGGTAAAAAAGTAAGGCCATAACCAATACACCATACCATCGTGAAAGATGACATGTTGTACATAACAGAAGGTTTGAATGATTGTCATGATCAACATCTGTGCTTTTGGTTCGTGGCATGAGATTGCGACAGCTCGCCTGTAGACCTGTAAAGATCAAGCCGAACCAGAGGCCGCGGAAGCATTTCGAAAGTGGAGGGGCATTGACCGAAAGGGGCACTTTTGTATATGACCAGAATCAAACGATTTTATGACGTTCACGAGCCGAACGAAAATTTTTGAAAATATGGAGTCTCTCTAACGTCGGAAATGGCCTTTACAGAGTCTTTACTACTGCGAAAAGGGCATTTTCTTTCCAGAAAAAGAGGGCGTTTGTTCAAGAAATACTTTTTTCGTTTTTTAAATGGGGCATTTTAGCCCAGAAAAAAGGGCACTTTTTTCACTTTTAAGAAAAGTGGGGGGGCACATGCCCCCATTGCCCCCCCGGTTCCGCGGCCCCTGAGCCGAACTACCACCAAACTTTGATTTGCCGACGAGCGAAGCGATGGCAGCCACCTATTCTTGACAACGTTTGCAGTTTTTACTCGTGCCAGATCCCCGCGCGACTTATGTATTTTAGCCAAAGCATTTGAGATTTGTTTGTCGTTCGTTCGATCATTCGGGTCGCATTTTCTGACGTCACAGAATTCGAATGACGTTAGGTACAAATTTATATACGCAGGAAGTTTACGATGACAATCCGATCACTTCCGAAAGCTGCGTTCGGTGCGCCGTAGCTTCATAGGAGCTATGACATTTAATTTTGACATGACCATATGGCAATGTCGCATATTTTTCCATTGCATGAGGCTTATTTTACAATATTACTATTTGATTTTGGAGGAAAACTATCAAAAGAATTATATTTTTGAAGGTATGTTGATAAAAATTGCCAATAAAAATAGCTATATATATATTTATTATATTACAGTAAAATGATTATTGATATTGTTATTATTTAATTATGGGAATATGCGGGGAATATGATATGCAGTAATTAAGCCGTGTATAAAAGCTAACCAGTGAATTTTGACTTCAGGCTGAAGTGGTTCGTATATAGTCTTACTTCACACTATACTATTTTATATTCAACACATTGTATTTTGGGTGCTCAATTGCCCAAATTTCAGGCTAGTGGTTCTTAACCTACTGGTTCTTTTATGCGAGGGCAAGGCTTTACTGTAATGTCTGTATATCAAATCAATAGACCTTATGCATAATGACGTCGTAAGGCTTGATGGCCAGGAAAATTTGGATAGTGGCCATTTTGGATTGTTTAATTTCCTTGGGCGATTACTACTAAAGTCCTGGGCAAACTAGGAAACGTTGTTGCGGACGAACAGGCGTGCACGAACAGGGTGGGCGAACAGGGAAACATCTGAGGAAACATCGAGAATCACAAATGTTTCTGCAACGTTTCCTAGTTTGCCCATAGCTTAAGACCAGCATTCCTCGCAGGCATCAAGCCTTGTGACATCATTATGCATAAGGTCAAATGAGCAGTATGATGTCCAATTTGTAACACACAATTGTACACGAATGAAAAATTATTTGCTTTTTTTCCATAATGCTCACAATTTCTTTCTTATTATATGGTTTTACAGTTCTGACTGAGTACAATCTTAATCATTTATAAAAAGAATGGTGTCATATGAAGCTGACGTATTAAACAATTGCAATCTTAATCATTTACACAATGAATGGTGTCATATGAAGCTGAAGTATTAAACAAAAATGTCAACAAAATAGATTTTGTCTCCCCATAGCCTGCGAACAGGCTCACTGGGAGAAAGGTGAGCCTGCACGGAACCATGCGTTTTATTCATTCATCTCCTTTTCGCATCTGCTAAACGCTAACCAATCAGCGTCGACTGCGATAAATAAACTGTCAACTGTCAAATTGACGCAAGGCGTGTACATTGTGCAACATCAACAATAATAATACAAAGCATTAGCGGGCCGCACAATATATTACTCGGAAAAATATAGAATTCTTCAAATATTAAATAGATATCAATACACATACAAATATAAAGCCGAATAAACTACCATTGGCTTTGAATGTACAGTAATACTTGTACTTTGTGCGACTGAAAGAACAATGTTCTGAATATTTTGAAGCTATTACTAAAATACGGTCAGATAGATTGGGATTTGGAATACCGAATACATTTAAAATTTTACTAACTGTGGTCTAAATAAATGATAAATGAGCATGTATTTATTAATTTCTTCGAAATCACGAATGTGCCAATAGTGGAAGCATAGTGGTGGAAGCCGCATTGACGACGAAATTTTCAGCAGTTTATACAGGGCAATTGCTAGATAGTATACTTCAAAATAAGGTTTCCGTTTTTATATCAATTTTTAAAATAATTTAAATAAGTTAGGGTTAGGTTAGGTTTTAGGTTAGGGTTAGGTTGGGGTTAGGGTGAGGGTTATTATTAGGGTTAGGGTTCAGTTTTGCGTTAGGATAGTTTTTTCTACGTTATAAAAACGGAAACCTTATTTTGAAGTATACTATCTAGCGATCACCGTTTATACAGCAAATAGTACAGCGTTTAATGTACGATATATATTTATATCTAAGTGACATGCCAGAGAGGATCAACAATATAATTATTCGTACATATTTGGGTATCTTTTGTATAGTGATATATTGACTTGCACTGACTTGCTCACTAATTAGAATACCTAGACATATACTGACATATACTGACTTGCTCACTAATTAGAATAATCCGTGAAGCCACGACGACCTCAAAATGTACTATACTATAGTCTGATGTCAATCCGAAGACGAAGTTCAGAATACTGTTATAGTTTCGTATATTGGATTTAAGCGATAGATTCAAGTAATTTATGATAGACTTTTTTGCTGTGATGCTTTGCTATTGCTTTTGGTTTCCATTTCTAGTTTTATTTGTTCGATAGTCCTATAATATATAATATTAAAATGAATAAAGTTCAAATTCTTCAAAATGCTGTTGTTGACATTTGCTATTTTTAGGAATTTTGTCAACGAGTGTAAGCCAATCAGAAGCCTGCGTTTCTATATGAACGCCACTACCAAGAAAACCTATCATCCGTGCAGGCCCTCTATTCTTTGCGCCGCCCGCAACCCAGGGCCTGTTCGCAGGCTAGTCTCCCCATTGGCAGATTGTTCTGTTGTTCTGCGGTAGTGGTAGTTTTGAAAGTACCATTAAAATGATAATTGAGGCAAAAACTGACTTACTGGTAGTATTTCTATGTATGAAATTGTTATTAAATTCTGCATATCAAATGATTCATTTAAGTATTAATTATTATCATTTGCTATATATGATATTGTATAGTATTCAGTGGCAAGCTAGCCATGGCAACTGGTTATGATATGCCAATAAACCTGCATCAATTTGAATAATTCAAATCATTAAAAACTTGCATAGCATGACCTGTAGACTTTCACAAAGTCCTTCATCTTTGTTTAGAACGAAGGAATTTTCAAGGAAGTAATTTCTTGAAGAGTAGGGAATTTGTGGAAGTCAATACAATTGGAATATTTAGCTGAGCTTTGATTTTGTGCAAAGTGTTTTCATATTCAGATTGCACTTTTTCTACCACCTGAACAGGTGTCTTAGGGGTGCTTTTCGTGTTTATGTGATGGAAGGGGGGGGGAGGCAGCACTTTCCTTGCGATAGTAATTTCTAGTATATATATATATATAAACATTCTTTGAGGTTTAATCTTTCAAGAAGTTCATGATTTTTGTGGGTAGTCGCGCATGCGCAGCTAACCACTATGTGAGAGACTGAAGCGCGATCTTCCGTTTCTCTGTAGCCTGCGGTGCAGACGCTTCGTATTTCATAATGAAAGGGTTTAACCGCAGGCTATTTCTCTGTGGCTCTGTGGCCTTTGTGTCCGCGGTGTCCTGCTGCGCGGTTCCTTTTATCCTTGAAATACGAACCGTCTATAGACCACAGGCTAAGTTCACTAACGCTCATACCGTACAGAGATGTGTATAAATTCTTAGTAAAGTCTTTATTGTAATATGTTTTGCCAGGTCGATAGTCATTTCCAACGCATATAGAATCGAATATGTTGTCGTTTTTACGGTATTAGCGCAAGGGGTCTGTTTTATATCGTGTAATGTCATATTTAAACACGACATATCAGTTTGATCAAACATTTTATACGTATTAGAAAAATATAGTAATTAATGATATAGCGCGCGACGATTGGACATGTTTACGTTAGTCTATATCGAAGGAATGTTGACGAATGACGAACATATAGGTATATAGAATCGAGTATGTCGTTGCTTACATAATGTTTGTAAGGCCACGTCATTGGAATCGGGTTAGTCGAATGTGTAAGTTAAGGCAAATAGAAAGCCAAGCACGGTTTACACAAGGATTAAATTAGGCAGTGGAATATTAGCGCTTTTTTACTTAGGGATATATTTGTTGAATATTAATTGAAAGCAAATTGAATGTCATTACCAATATATATGAGATCGATTATGTCGTTTAAATAATTCAATTATCACTAAATAAATATAATAATAATATATTTATTCCATTACACCATTACTGGTACATAGGATATACTACAATATAACAGATACATATACAAACAATAAAACTATAGCTAATACTTAATTACAAACAGTACAGTTAGAGAAAATCTTGGTTAACTCGTAAATGTATCTGGCTGTACAATTTGTTAAACTCTTGTCATTCATGGATATACAATAAAGAAACAGGTCGTTTTTACCTAGTGAACTAAAACAACTATTAATTTCCAGTATCTCTTTCAGGAAATTTTCTTTGAGATTTTCTAACTTGTAATTTTTACAATTTAAAAAATAATGGTATTCGTCACCTATATAATTTGAATAACAAATTGGACATAGGCGTAACTTATGGTCAATATTAGCATATCGACCGACTTCAACTGGAAATCTATGTGCAGATATCCTAAACCTTGTAACCCCTTGGCGGTGTTTTACATTTCTGACCAAAGACAAATAACTTTCAACATGCCAACTTGGTTTTACAAGGCTTAAGATTCGTAATTTGTTGCACTGTTGAATCTGATCTTTCCATATGGTATTATATCTATTACATAATTCATTCTTAATAGCTTTAGCTAAATTACTAATATATGTTGATCTTTTTCAAACTCCGCCGGAAAACATCGTCCTTAGATCTTTGCATGGACTATATATCCTTGAAACTCAAACTTCACGAAAATTGTATATACGCAGCCTGTAAACCTGATGCTTTGTCTTTGATGTATGCTGTCCTTGAACAAGAACTGTTCTTGTCTTAAGTGTTTTTCGCACTGTCTGTATTTCGGCGTGTGATGTATTTTGTTTCGTATACATATTAAAGACCTTGTACTGTTCTGTCTGTTCAGTGTGCAAATTATTTTTGACACATTAAAATACTTTGTAACTTCTTAAATCTGTTTATGCTTAAATAGAGTTTGTTTATCTCAGCAACCAAAACAATGCCCCATCGCCCATGCATCAATGTATATACTTTGATTTCAGAACGTTGCTGATATTAAGAAGTTGAAAACATCTGGAATATGTACCATAAAGGTAATTTCCTGAAGGTATATAGGGGTGTGGGGGGGGGGGGCGTGGGTGTAAGGGAATACCCAACCCACTTTCCATTATACCTTATTCTTTCTTTCATAAGGGTGTTCAAATGACCACAAGAAGAAAGTTGTGTCAGATAAAAGGAATATCTGAGGCGGAAATGGAGAAAATTAAAGATGAATTTTTCATGATATTACAAACGATTTGCACCTTGCTAGGTATGTATTTTGGGATTTTTATTTCTTTCAAAAAAATGTGACCACTAGTTTATTTCTTTGTCTTCATCAAGGGTGGGTAGTAGCGAAGTAGTTGTAGTTCGCTACTGTAGCGAACTACAATTTTCAAGTAGCCTGTAGTTTTTGACTACTTTTTCAAAACAGTAGCTGTAGTTATAGCCTGCGAACAGGCTCTCAAGCTGAATTGAGAGCCTGCATCGATGACTAATGAATTTGAATATCTGCCCCGTAACGTTCGTTTTTCCAAATATGGAATGTCTATCCTTATATGGTGTTGTTTACAACTTTCGTGCAAACTAAATTTAGACCGTGCGAACTAAATTTAGACTGTACAGTTTATACTGTTTTTCGAAATATAAGATATTCAAGCAAAAGTTGATCTATTCTAAAAGACCACACGAGTCAGAACACGAGTGAACACGAGTGAACACGAGACCACACGAGACACGAGTGAACACGAGTGAACACGAGTGAACACGAGACAACACGAGTGAACACGAGTGAACACGAGTCAGAGTGAACACGAGTGAACACGAGTGAACACGAGACAACACGAGTGAACACGAGTCAAAAATGACGAACACGAGTGAACACGAGTCAAAAATGACGAACACGAGTGAACACGAGTCAAAAATGACGAACACGAGTGAACACGAGTCAAAAACTGACGAACACGAGTCAAAAACGCATTCTTAAAGAGGCTCCCTACAGTTTTAAGCCCGTGATGAAGATCTGTACTGTGTAATTGCACGCGGGTTTCTTGGCGGCCCACAGGATGTTGGATTAATAATTATTAATAACAATTGTTATATAGTTAGTGTCAAAGTTCAATTTTTCTGTTTGCCGATTGGTCAAAACCGTTTCACGTGCCTGTCCACAAAACGTCATGTTCGGCAACCGGTCCGCAATCAAACATTTATTGACCGGTCAATAATAAAATGGGTGCAATACGCATGCGTGTCAACCATGAAGTTCCAAAGTTCATTTTTTAAACTTTTTACTAAACATTTACGGCGTTCCATTTATCCAGTTTTGGTTTCAAATTAAGTTC